ACGCGTGGCCAGCGAGATGCCCAGGCTCACTCATTAGTTTTACCGGTCTTCGGCTTCTTTGGCAGCGGCTGCCTTTCCTATTCCTCCTCCTCCTCCTCGTCCTCCTCCTCGTCTTCTACATCCGTCTCCTCCGTATTCGTCCCCGTGTCCATCTCCATCTCTCCTCCTCCTCATCATCATAATATTATTATACGCCTTCTTATTATAATGAATTCTCACTAAGTTAGTAGAATGAATATTTTATCATTATCGTCACCATTAGTATTATTATTTATGTATTTATTTATTTATTATTATTATTATTAGTAGTAGTATTAGTATTGTTAGTATTATTAGTATCATTATTATTATTAGTAGTAGTATTAGTATCAGTATTACTATTAGTATTACTATTATTACTAGTATTACTATTATTAGTATTACTACTACTACTATTATTAGTATTACTAGTATTATTAGTATTACTAGTATTATTAGTATTAGTAGTAGTATTATTAGTAATGTTAGTAGTAGTCTTATTATTAGTATTATTATGAGTATTACTATCATTACTAATAGTAGTATTATTGATATTATTATTGATATGATTAGTCTTGATATTATTATTATCTTTAAACTTTATTATGATTATTATTATCATCATTGTTATTATTAGTACTGCTAGTATTATTAACATCATCATCATCCTCCTCATCATCATCATTAGTACTATATTTATTATTAGTATTATTAATATTAGTCATATTCTTATTATTCGTATTACTATGATTCATGCTGTCATTCATATCCATATCCTTCAGTTTCTGCACACTATTGGTATTCCCCCTCCTCCTCCTTCTCCTCCTCTTCCTCATCCAAGGCATCTTCGGCTCGGCCACGCTGAACATGAGGAGGCGACTGGACCACGCGGCCAGCTCCGCCAAGAGAGGCCACTGCCTCACGGCCGTGCTCGCCTTGAGGTCCACAGGGCAGGACCCAGGCTATGCCGCCTGCCGCTCGATTGTCTCAAGTTGTGTTTGCACACGTGCGTCTCTGAGCCGGGGGTCAGAGCAAGCGTCAGGCAGGCGCGGCCGCCGGTGGCCGGGCAGCTCACGGAGAGGAACCCCTCGCTGGGGAGTCGGAGCGTGAGAGGCCCGATGGCAGCTGTCATCACATATACTTCGCAATATCAGTGGGGTCCCGTCTATGCCACGGAGTGACTCACTCCGTGGCAGAGACGGGATCCCACTGATACTGCGCCTCCACGCCTCCACGCCTCCACGTTCCTCCTCCTCCTCCTTCTCCTCCTCGTCGTCGTCCTCCTCCCTCCTCCGCCTCCCCTTCCTCCTCCTCCTCGTCCTCCTCCTCCTCCTCCTCCTCCTCCTCCTCCTCCTCCTCCTCCTCCCCCATCCTCCCTCCCTTTTTTTTCAAACTGGGTCGTCGCTTACGCAGACGGGGCGCCCAACGTCGCACCTGACCAGTCGGGCCGAACCGAACCGGAGCGGCCACTCGAACCGAACCGAACCGGTCGGACCCAACCGCGCGAAAACCGGAACCGAACCGAACCGGCGGCAGGCCCAAGCCGAACCAGCCGAAACTGGACCGATGCCAAACCGAACCAGCCAAGCAAAACCGACCCGGCTGCAGAACCGGACCGAGCCGAACCGAGCCGATCCCTTCATGAGTGAGGCTCCAAGCCGGTGGGCTCACCAGACAGACAAGCGTGCATATTCGAAGCGGTCCTGGGGCCTGACACTGGTTTTTCTGAGCCGATGTCGGAGTTCGGGTCCACCATCAGGGGGCACCTGTGGCTCCAGGCTTCTTCTCATTTCCGCGAATCTCGCCTCCAGGGGGGAAGACGACAGCAGGTCCCTCAGGAGGTACATCCGTTCGGTAGGAAACACCCACTAAAAGCACCAGCCGGCAGCCCTGGCCCCAGCCGCGGCCCCAGCACAAGCCCCAACAGAGCCCAAGAGGCTCCCAAGAGAGCCCAAAGAAAGGCTCCAAAGCGTCAGTGTCGTCGTTGTCGCCGCTGCCGCCGCCGCCGCCGCCGCCGCTGCCGCCGCCGTCGTCGTCGCCTTCTCCCTTCAGGGTTGGCGGCGCTGGCCGCTAGGCCTTCCCAATACGGTAGAGAGCGCCCACAAAGGGCACCAGCCGGCAAAGTTGATGCTGTGCATTACCGCTGGAGGCACCTGGCCCAGGAAGCGCACAGTAGACGAGGCAGGATCGAGCGTGTTGACTTTGCGAGGTGCGGGGGGGGGGCCCGAGACACATTTCCACAAGTGCTGGTCGCGCCCAAAGAATGCTAGCTCCCCCCGCCTACTCAGCATCCGACAGACTGGCCTCACAAGCATACGGCCAGCACGAAGCAAACGAGTCTTGTAGGTTGCGCGGCATTTCGCCAGCGGTATGGGCATCAGCGCCAGCACCAGCCAACTCACCATTTTGGCTTGTCAACGGGGTCGAAAAGACCCTGCAGGCAGGCTCAGTCGGCACAGGCACTCACCAAGCCCCCACTCAT